ATGTACGCTCGTCGAGAATACCCATCCGTACATAACCAATACTCAATCACACCGTACGAGCAGCGATTGTCAGAGTTAAACATGATTAGTCTTCGCCGTTTTTCTACGACATCATCAACGGTAACGCTAACTGTCCAACGGTTAGTGACAAAGTCTCATTTAATCATGGGCGTTCATTGAGACACAGCGAACAATTCAAGGTCAATGACAAGCACATGAAGTTGGTGCGTGAAGCTCCAATTCCTCAAATGTGCAAAATGGCGAACATGGTGCCGGAACTTTTCACAGCAGCGACCTCCAAGAAAAATTTTGCATCATCGGTTCGCAAAATGACGGACACCACTTTTGGATCGCTATGCAAACTCAAATGACTACCTGGCCACCCAGTCAATTTTTCATCCAGGTAACCTCATTTTTTGTATATGTTCTCCACGAGAACACCTTGATACTGCCCACATTAATAATGATGAAATTGCGATTTTCATGTTGCCAACAAACCCGATCTATGATCCAAAGTGGACGAATTCATCAAGGACAAAGCATACTGCCCGGGTGCCATTTGGGTTGCTTCTGATTGCAACAAACATGAGCGGGGCTGTCCCAGGTTCCAACCACCCACGTGGAATTCAACTCATCTCACACGGATCACACAGCATAATCAATATTTAAAGACTGACGAATTTTTCCATACATTCTTTTATGTGTATTGAAAAGATGATACTTATCTGTGATGTTTACATTATTTATTGTAAATTTTAATTTTGATTTTGTGCTTTTTTGTAGCCACGAAGTTGGCGAGTTAATATTCTTATCTATCAAGTCAATTTTGAATTGTTTACCATTTAGCATCAAATTATCTAGTTACGTTTCAAATCATGGTCCATGTCAACTCAATGCACTCTGCAATTAACATGGATCTGCCTTAACCGACGTAAAACTTCTCATCAATTTATCTATCGGATAAATTAAGTGACGACTTTTGCAGTCTCAAAGTCCAAATTTAACGCGTAACAGTTAACGCTTCACATAGCCTTTGTCCCTTTGGAAACGTTTACCAAAGGTTATCCTGGACCGTTTACTATAGACTAATATCAAGCATTTCCATCTTGGTTGTATGACTGTTTTCGTTTTCATGTTCCTACTATTGTGAATACCGCATGATGTACGAAAAGAGACAGGTTTTTAACGAGGCGAGAACTGATAGTTATCGAAACCTATTGCTACTAATTGTTTATTATTTTAAATATGTAACAGTCTTGCACTCTTTTCCGGCCAAATCTCAATCAGAACCCACATTATATTCAGCTAGAGCTTGGCGGTGTTTAATAAAATAATAAAAAATAATAATAATAAAAATGTCGAACGCAAATTCTCAATGTACAACCATCCCTATGTAAACCCATACACAGTTTCTTATAATACTGCTTCTTCTTCTTCACACTGTCGTACACAATGGGCGCGACCATATTGAAAATGTATACAGTGTATTGCGTGCCATTTGTGAACATTATAACCAATATGGCGACTTATATGTATAGATGTGTTAGTTAAGAAGAAGAAGCAGTCGCACTGCACCGTTCGCATACGGACGTGTACAACAACGTGTTGCAAGATAATCGACGATCATTCTCTTTCGATAACTTAAAAAAACACGTTGTTATATATTGCAACAATTTTGATTAAGTGATTCATGATTTTTGTTAAGTTTTTTTTTGGTTTCAATATCATGTGTACGTATAATAACTTGAAAAAAGTAAGATTTTTGGAACTTTTGCAATGAAAAAAAAAAAAAAAATTTACGTAAATATTTTGAGACTTTTGGCGCCCATTTTAAATATTTTGATGATTTTTCTTAAATGTTATCGTAAATATTTCACGGTTTTTTCGTAAATGAATAAATGAATATTTTGATGGTTTTTCGTAAATATTTTTTTCTGCCCTGCGTTATATAACAAAAAATTACATTCGTTGTCATGTAAAATATGTATATGAAGCAATCGTTGTGATAATTTTCATATTTAGTTTTAGTATCCCGACTCACCTGATGTTGGTAAAACGATTCCCGAAAACTTGTGCAAGATATTTATCAGATTTTTTAGTTTTCTTGTATCAGAATAAGAAGTAAATAAATTCAAATTTAATTTATTAAACTGATACAGCGGTTCATATATAAACAATTTTGATTTTACATTTGATGTGTTTTTATTTCGTATTTTGCATTTTTCTCTTCACAATTGGTCTGAAATCTGTTTACTTTGCACATATTTTTGTATCTTTTTGTAATCTGTCATTCAGTTGAAGTTTTTAATTTGTTGGTCGTTTTGAATAGATATGAGCATTTAGTTTTGTATTTATACATTTTGTTCTGTTTTTTTTTCTTCCTTTTTCCGTTGATAAGCGCGTTCAATATCAATAATATGTACAATACAATAAACATTAATTTGTGTTGCACATTTTCGGCTTTTGTTAAATTGTTTGGCTTTTGTTCCAAGCATATGTATTGGACCGAAGAATGAAGGTTCCTAAAATTGTCCACCATTGGCTTTGGTTTTCATACTATATATGCTCTCTATTTGGTTGGTATAATACATTAATAAGGTACTGAAACATCAGTTCCATTTTCAGGTTGATTTTTATCAAATACATTTTCAAAAAGCTTGATTGATGCAAACCAGAAAAGAAAATTGAGCACGATTAATTTAAAGATTGCCGATCGAATTTTCAATTTTTTTTGGCAAAAGTTTGGCGTATCAATTTCAAATATCATTGAAAATCACCTGTAAAGCTGCGAAAACAGATGTGGTCATATGTGGAAGTATAGGAAAGATACTATTATTGCATGTAAAATGCTTCATATCAGATTTAAAAATTTTACTTCAAAATTTGGACCGTTTGCTATCTGACTACTATCAAGCATTTCCATCTTAGTTGTATGACTGTGTTCTTGTTTTCATGTCCTACTTGTGTAAATGCTGAAAAATTACGAAAGGAGCCAGGTTTTTGACGAGGCGAGAATTGATAGTTCATAGTTTATTGTTAATCATTGTAAATTGATACAAATTGATGTAATAGTCTTGCACTCTTTTCCAGCCATACCTCCATACCTCTACGTACCAAAATCGTACCATTAGTCTACTCAGTCACAATGTTCTTTATTAAACAAATGATGATCAAAACATGTGATAATGATACTTTCAGTGTACATTTTCGAATGAATCAAGTGTGGTTGATGGAGAAAAAGAGATCAAATAATGAATTAAAAGTCCATTTGATCCTTCGTTGCGCTCATTTAAAATATAGAATTTTTTTTGAAGTAGTTAAGTTATCATCATTGATGAGATTGAGAGTTGTGTATGTATACGATATTTTAAATGTACATTGATGGCATCAAAGTCAATGCCAAACTCTTTTCACTGTAAACATTGTGTAACACAATTTGCGAATGTCAACACATACGTTGTGCGAATGGATGATGTACGGCTCCTTGAATCCGTTGTACTTTGAATCGTGAAAATAATGCAGAAACCATACCCATACATACATAGGCCAATCATCTTTTTGCGACTAAATGAAAGAAAAGAAAAAAACGGTTCATAAACTGCGTTGCAACATCTCATATGGTTAAAATGTACACATTTGGGCACACACTTTGACCAAAATGAAGACCATCTCTATATCTACTGACTTCTGCATTTATACAGATATACAGGAAGCACTTGCATACTCTTTCTGTATTTGATTGTTTTTCGGTATTAGTTTGAACATTTGACCTCTTTGTCTAAATCCAAGCATTAGAAAAGTGTAAAAAGGCTTTAAATTATGATAAAATTAAATGAATGTTACAGATTGATTTGATTTATTTACATCAATATATTTATATATATTTATGTATACCTTCTCGGTCTTAATTTATCTATTCTCATATTTCATCTACTTTGTTCCTACATTCGTCTTCACTCTATTCTTATTGGTTTTTCTTATTAACCTTCAAATCGTAAAATGTATTTTCTAACGTTGTTCGTAAAATCGGTGCCTGAGTGCCCATAATGCATTTTATATGGGAAATGTCAGTTCTTTCTTGAATTTGTTTTTAAATGTAAATATTTCAGTATTTATTGATCGGAAAAGTATGAAAATCACTTTGAAATGTTATAAAAGTCATATTAAATCGAAATATGAAAGACAACAGCAAGTTTCTTGAAATTTTTTCAATAAAGTGGGAATTGCAATGTTGATCTCTTCACAAAAATGAAGGCAAAAACATATGCATACAAATTCCACTATGGCCGATTTTGACGTCAAAAATTGAGATTTTGAACAGCAGGTTGTATCAAAAAGTTATGTATATCACCAGAAAGGTCTTGAAAAGTAGATGCCATTTTTGGTATAAAACTTCAAAATATGCCGGCATTTGGCCAATATTTGGCCGTTAGAATTTTTTTGGCCATATTTTGATAAAATGATGATCGATTTTGATGTTTTATAACTCCAATTACATGTACTGTTCAAGATCTTACCAATGATGTATATTTCATAGTTCCCACATTAATTTTTATACGCAATTTGTCGAAAAATTTATATGGGCACTCAGGCACCCATTTTACGTATAGCGTATCACACATGTTTACGCGCATATGTGATAAGTTAGTGCGCGTATGTGGGTATGTTAACGCAATTTTTGTAGCCAAATGTTCAACGAATCGAACCATAGTTATTTTATTAATTTATGATAAGAAATAATTAAGATATAAGCATTCAAAGTTGGTTTTGGGCACACAGTGCCCAATTTACGGTTTGAAGGTTAATATTTATTTGCCAATTTCAATAATTTAATAAAAATTATATATACTTCTATCATTTTGATTAATAACCAATATGTAAACTGATACAAACGAATGCGAAAGGATTTCAAATATTTTTTTTTTTCGTTCACCGCAATGTTCAAAATCCAATAATTTCAATAGAAATACAAACTAAATACTTGCAATAAATTTATTGAAAAGAAGATGTAATCGTATTCAAGATTCTTCTTTCTAATTTAATTACACACTTTTGTGCGTATGTATCTTTGTTCAATAGTAATAAATGTATTTATAAGCAATTTACTCTACGTTGATTCTATATGAAATATTTTAACATGAATTTTTCTTTCGTGTTCAAACAAAATACAAAAAAGAAAGCAAACAATTGTGTTTAGACATATGTGCCTGGTTTCAAATGAAAACGTTTTATTGAATCATTCAATTTGATTTTGATTCCGAAGGTCAATGTCAGTGTCAATGTCGTGATTGTTTTGCGATCGGTTCTGATGTAGAACGCGATTATGAGCTAAATAAAATGGGTGCATATTTCAAGTTATCTGTGGAAACTAGTCTGATTTTTCCGACTATAAACGATAACAAAGTACAACTGAATGAGGGAACAAGTAAGACTTGAATTCGAAATATTTTAAAGGGTTACATCTCTAAACAAAATATGTATATTGTGAATCCATGTGTCATTTGTGCCCTCACTCATTCAATTTTTCTATGAATCAAATATCTATTCTCTTGTCTAGGTAAATGATTGAACATTTATATTTTCTTGTATATTTATATCTGTATGTGTGTGTTTTTTGTGTTTCTTTTTTTTTTCTAGATCAATACTCAGATCATAAGGAATATGTGAAGCTTTTTTGGTTCTGTTTTCTTCTCTTTTTTGTTTCGACAATATTTCAACATTTAATTTTAAAATATGAAGGAAAACGGTAGCTTTTATTTTGATTGGCCACATAAGAATCATATTATTGTCACCAATGTCTATTGAAAACATTAATAAAAACTCAGCTCAAATTCAACAAAAAGCCGCTGCCGCAACGTTCATAAATAATTCTTAGTTCTAGCCTGAGCGCATCCACTACTTCCATTGGAATGCATCTAATAAAATATTTGTTTTTTTTTTTTTCATAAACTCAAATATTTGAATATGTATTTGGATTCATTTTACTTTTCATTCTGTTTTCAATTTATTTCGTTTCCATATTTCTCTGCAATTAGATTAATTTTTGTACGTTGGCTGATGTGATATGGGAAATGAATATTGAAGATAACAACAATAACAACAACTGAAATTCGGTGTAAACAATTTTTGACTAAATTTGAGAAGATAAGCTACGTTAATTCATAAATAGTTGTGTCCATGCGCATTTGTTTGTATCTAAAAGAAAATGATATGTTAAATGACTATGATATTGTAATGTGAATGTTTGTTAAACCGAATCGAACCGAAGAGAGCAAACATTGACCCATGCATCACCCATCATGTTAGAAGCGAAAATATGCTTGGAAGCAATTCATTTGCCGTGTAAATATTACCTTTGCAAAACGATAAAAAGAGAATGACATCTGGTGTCAATGTGAATACGAACATTGCATCATGGCATGACACAACACGACATCAAACATTTTGTGCCACTCAAACTCGATGATCAAATAAAAGAGAGAAAAAAAAATGAAATTTCGTATATTTCGAGTTAAGTGAAGAATTTAACGAAAACCACAAACTCGAACAAAATGCAGACAGATGAATATTTGAATTATTTTTCAATTTCCTTTTTTTAGTCGTAAATGTGTCTTGTGCAGAGCATAAATCACAGAGAACAAAAAAAAAACCACGATCCTTGAAAATTGTTCCCAAAACTTTGGCATAGCAACCGAATTGTATAAAACATGTGATAGTATACTCAAACGATGTGTTTATTCATGTGTGCCGATCTGTGTAAATTGATTTTCGCTACATGTAGCTTGCATCGTTGTCTGTCTGCTGATAGAAAATCCAGACATTCTTTGCGATGTCTGTCACGAATAATATGTCACTATTTAGTGACATATATATATATAAATATATACAAACTATAATTTCTGTGTCTACTGGTTTTTTGTCAATTATAAATATCATGTTTGATATCCAACAAACTTTTTACATGTTCAAAAATATTTTGAGTATAAACAAAAAGTGAGAATTAATTTGGTATGCATACATTTCAAAGCAATTGTTGCACATGAGAATGATGAAGATATGCTAATGTGTACTGTTGGTTTTATTTTCCTTTTGTATGGTTAATGTTTGCTATAATCAATCCAATATTGTCAAGAATTTATGCCTTTTCGCTTGGTTATTTGACATGAGGTTTTCATCAGTTTCATAAGGTGCGCCAATTAGTGTGGTTTCACAGACGAAGACTACTTTCACAATAAACAGTTGGCTGATATAGATTTTTTGTGTGAGTGTGTGTGTATGAAACTTGGTGGAATATGTCAAAAATGCAAATAAATTCTGTTTACTGTTTTACTGTTTTGTACACTTGCTGCGGCCCCATAAATATGGTTTTATTCACCTCTGAATGATCCGAGTGTATAATGTGGAGTTCGAAAAATCGAAAACATTGTCATTTTCGAGCGACCCTAAAATATTCTACCTTATAAATTCTACATGCGCTAATTAAGATTGTTGGTATTTCAGCCTAATATATATATATATATATATATATCCTTTATTCCTGATGAAAATCAAAATTCATATTTACATTTTATTAATCAACATTTTGATGTGTATGTCGATTTGCATTATATATTTATTCTCTCCTCCATCCACAAACATTGAATATATTTGACGTCGATGTTATTTGCACACCACCATCACTCACTCACTTGCTCTGTTAGATTATTCTCTTTGTTAATTAAATCTCGTTTCCGTTTTGATTTTATCAAAATAACCGAAACGATGATTTCTTCTCTTTTAAATTAGCAAGAAAAAAATTTCTAACTTTTTATTCCATACGAAAGAGAAATGAGTTGATGGATAAAATATATTCAATGCCATGCTTTTTGCAACAATTCGGAAGGTATTCGATATTTCATACGCACAAAACAGTGTTGAAATCTGCCGCAAAAATAAATGCTGACTCTCAAGTCTGCTGCAAATGTTTGGAAGAAGAAGAAGAGAAAGATTTTCGTGTTCCTTTGATGTTTTTGTACCAGGATTGTGATGTAATTATGTTCGCTGTAATTAGAAATGGCATCGCCGTCGACCGCTTCATATAATTGACTCACAAATTGCATGGGGGACAAGTTGGACCTTTCGACGCCGTTTGCTCGTTCACATAATCTTGTACATTGAATCGAGCCTCATCCACGTCCATGTTTCGGCTTTTCAGTTTCCTAGAAAACAAAGTACAACAACATGAAAATGAACTGTAGGCTAGCCAGAAGGAGAAGAAGAAGCAAAACAACAAAACAAAAACATTGGGTTGTGACCACACAGTCGATTCCTTCTTATTACTTCGTCTTTGACTTATGATATTTGAATAAATCTGGCTCAAATTAAGAGTACGGTGTTGTTTTTAATTAGGAATTTTATGCGTCGAGACGCTATAGAAGCTTTTATACCCTATTACCGTTCGTTCACTCTGAGACGAACATTTGTGTATGTGTGTGTTTGCGAATTGGAAACGGCGTCACTCGCTTAATTCTGTAATAACTTCAAGAATCAAGCAAGTTCAAAAATGAATGCCAAGCTGGCATGTTCACACATCACATTGATTCGAAAATAAACAAAAAGATCTATCGCTCATTTGTATATATTTGTAGATATGTGTGTGTGTGTGTGTGTGTTTGTGTGCGTTTACCTGGCAACAGCTGAAAACGCTAAGTCTACATTCAATCCAGTCTTTGCAGAGGTTTCCATAAATGTTACATTGTATTCGCGTGCCAATCGTTCACCATCTTCACGTTTCACCTGACGATCCGGGCAATCGGCTTTGTTTCCTGTTCGATACGAAAAATACGCACATTCAATGCTTAATTGCATTTTCTAAATACGAACAAATACCAATAAAATATATAACCATGAATGAAGAGCACATACAACTGATGAATGTGCTTCGAAGACAAATAAATACGATTTAAGCGGAAAAAGAGGAGAATGCGGTTTCGAAATACTTTTATCTAGCGTGATAAAATCGAAATGTAGTATTATCATTCATCAATTTGAATTGAATTTGATGATATTAGCATTGTAAGCTGAGCTTTTATTTACGGTTGAAATTCGATTAGCGTTCAACCAAAATACAAGTTCAGCTCTACTGTTGTGCATGTTTTCATTCGAATCGTCACTAAAAGTTATTCATTTTTTTCTACTTTTGCATTGAACGGACTGGAAATCCGTAGAAGAATAAAACGAACTTAAACGAAACATAAAATCAGATTATTTTGAATTGAGAGAGTACAATAGACTGTAATGAAACAGCGAATAACAACACAATTACGATGCCATTTTGGTTTCAATGCTTATTGATTGTTTGTTGGCCATTGTGGCCTATATACTATTGTAATTTGTTGTTCCGTTTGATGTTTTAAATGAATTTAAATTCGAAGCCAAATAGCAGTTTTTGTTTTCACTCCCTCCCCCCCCCTCTCTCTCTTTCTCTCTCTCTCTCTCTATCTCTATTTCACTCGTTTCCGAATTCCATTCTCATTGAATTACTTACCTAGCAACAAAATGACGACATCATCTTGAGCATATTCATGTATCTCAACCAACCAGGCACGAATATTATCGAAACTCGTCTTATTCGTCACATCGTACAGCAAAAGCAAAGCTGAATAATAGAAAGTGAAATAGCATTATACTTTGTTTGATAGCAAAACGGAATTTTGTAAATTTGAATACATTTTGGCTGAAGTTTTTTCTTCTTCAAATATTGGATTAGAGGTCAAATAGAATAAATATTTCATTTAGGTGAAACGATTTTGCATGAAAGTAACGAGAAATATTCTCCATTTGGTTTTTTGAACGAGCTTTTTACTGCAGTGAATTGTTCACTTCGAGGTGGCGTAGTTTTTCTTCCGCTTTAATAATTTTCATTATTTTTCTGGAAAACTGCGAGCGCCAACAAGCCGATTGGCATTTTGAATAACTGGACAATAGAAACGCGACAGCAACTCTCTATAGACTAAAAAAGAGCCCCGATTTTCCGTGTCGTCCTTTCTTTTTGTCCTGCTCAAAAAGTTATATTACGAAAATAAAGCAAACGTACCATGAGCATCGCGATAGTATGCGTGCGTTATACTTCGGAATTTCTCCTGGCCAGCTATTTGTTAAACACGCACGAAAAAGAGCCACAAGTTAATTAATACCAAGCAAATGGAATTTACATACAGAAACTCACCAGTATCCCATATCTGTGTGGCGAAAAATAAAATTGACGGAGAAAAAAACAGCGTGAAAGGACAAAAAATTAATTTTTAACAGATTAATTCAATTTGAGTCAAAAATAATAGGTTTAATGAATACCTGTAGTTTAACCCGGGCATTGTCCAATTGAACGATTTTGGTCTGAAAGAAGGGAGAGAAACAAGCAATGAAATGAAGGGGTTATGAATAATTTATTCTACGATATTTAAGTGAAGTGACGACGCCGGTGAAATCGATTGAAATGTAGAAACAAAAAATGAACAGAATACTCTTCTTGGATACGCATCAATTTTGAAAATATTCCAGGCGAATATTTGCTTAGTCGCAATCTCAATAGTTGGCTATGTATGTTCAAGGCATTGTATTTGCTCAACCAAAAACATATTCGAAATAGAGAGAGAGAGAGAGAGAGAGAGAGAGAGAGAGAGAGAGAGAGAGA